TTTTCTTATATGAAATGGTAGAATTTAGATTATGAAGTTTGTAGCTTCACCAACCAAAAGCTAGAGGGTCCTGAACTCCATGGGCACTTTTCTGATAAGTAAATGCCAAGACACAACTGGGATCCTCTGAAACGAATCTTTCTCTGTTTCATTTCCCTAATGAACTGATAGTGGTGCTCAGCATGATCCTCTTGGCCTCCCATCCCATGGAAGTTTAATGATCAGAGGATTTGGCCCAGAACTGAGAAGATTCAGGCTGCATTTCCTCCCTCTGCCTTAGAAGTTTAGCACCTGTCTCATGTGTGGGCTTTGCACAGGGAGAGCTCTCTGCTCATCCACCCAAAATGAAGCTTCTGGGGCTAGACAAATAAGAAAATAAGGATGGAACTGTGGCACTGTAGTTACAGCACCTGGCTGGSTAGAGGTGCTACTTTGTCCTACTTCTAAGCTACTCCTGATTTTTAGTATTTATCTTTCATTAGTTACAACCTTTAGGTAAAATACAGAAATTCTATCGGTCATAAGAATACTCATGCAATTCAGAATGCAAATAAAACACATGATTATAATTTGCTAACTCTGTAGGCTCCTTGAGAGGCATAAATTATAAAGCATTTGAAGCCATGAGATGAGGCATTAAGATTCTGCTTCAGTTTTTTTCCAGATTTTTATTTAAAAAAAAAAAAGACAAAATAAATGAAGATTAGGCAAATTAATTTGCATATAAAATGAAGTCTGCTTAGGTTCTCTGATATTTGAATGTCTGCTGTGACAGACTGTTACAAAAACAACAAAACCTAAGATTTTTAGAAAAGAGAATATCTCTTCGTTACTTCAGCTGATACTTGGAAAAGGTAAACTATTTCTGAGGGAAAAAAAACCTTCTGTAGAACTCTAAATAGTTATGAATATGAGAACCTATCTCAATGATCTTCAAACAATAGTTTGGGGGAAAATAGGAGAGGCTATAAAATGGGATGCATTTTTCCATCTAAAAAACTCATTAAAGTTTTTATTTTATTATTTTTTTTTAAATGCCAAAGAAACCAGTTCATTTTCAGAAACTATAGGAGTGTTCTTATTTATTTGTTCTTCTAAGATATGATTCTAGTGAACACTACTGAATCATCTTAAGAGTAAGCACATACAAATCCAGAACTCTGATTATGAGATAGAGATTTAAATACATTGTAGGGAAAGAGATAGGATCTAGATAAGAGAGGAATTCAGAGCATGAATTTGCTAACTTTGATCTTTATTTTAAATGGGATAATTGGACAAATCAGTAAAGACCTTATTTTCAAAAATGACCTTTAATTTTGGATTCTGGCATATTAAGTGATCCCTAATTCCTAATGTTCTTCATAGTTAAGGACTCTGATATGAGTGGGAACTCCAGACTGGAATATTCCAGGAATTTTATCTTTTGTGTCTACACTAAGGATCAGAAGAATTGTGGAATCATAAATAAAAAGCCAGTTTTGGATGTTTGACTCAAGACCTTTCTTAACATTACAGCAAGTTCAAAATTATCTTGTTCTTATTCTTGCTGAAATCAGTGGCAAAATTCATGCTGATTTAAATCCATGCATTGAATTATTGAAATCCCAGGGGCACAGTGGAATTTCATAAGTATTTGATTAGGAAACTGAACCTCCTTCCTCTAGAAGTGTTCACTTTGGACACAGTGAGCATACACAACTTCAGTAATAACAACAGTGCCAATTGCAAAAAAAGAATGAGACATTTTATTTAATTCAATATTAGTTTATGTTTTTCATTCTATAATAGCATCAGCGATCCTCGGTACACTTGATGTTCCTTGGATGATGATGGATTGGAAACTGTTCCTTGAAGAATGGCCCTGGGCACTCCTCATTGTTTTCCTTTCTCTTTCAGACACTTTATTAAGCACCAAGCTCTGTTCCAGTGCAGACTTCCATTTGATTAAAAGCAAATGATTCTCTCAGTCAGGTTTCTCTGGTTAAGAGCCATTTACTATGTCTATTCAGGCAGGTCTGTCAAACTGTGACCTTTCCTCATGCCTGACATGTTTACGTTGGCAAGGTCACAGAGAGGGATATAAATTGTTCAGACTCAATGAAAACAATCAGAACATTTAAATCACAAGCAGATCGTAACCTGGTGACATGGCAATGAAAATATCTCAAAATGCTGCCCACATTTTTCAAGTGAGATGCTGTTATACTATTGATTTATGGGCAGTGATATTTCAACAAAAGGGAAGCATGAAAATATCTGCATCTGGCATTGGTTAGGACATGTCTGGAGGTAGGTGAGACTGATCCAAACTCCAGACTATTCAATACAACTACATTTACCGTGATAAACTACCTGTGACTAAAAATGGCATTTTGGCCAACTGACACAGAATAGCTCATGTCCCTACTATTAATTTTTTCACTCTCTAAAACACAACAACCATGTGTAGAACTACAGAGATGAGTTTCTTTCTGATGCACCATCCCAGGGAAAGTGCTAGGTTGCCCAGGCCAAAATGATGAACTGAAGTCTGAACAACTGTCTGAAGAACTGAGCAATATGCACGGTCCAAGCCTGGTGCCCATTGGCATTCCTGAACAGTCTTGCTTGGTGCAGTGAGCTCTAGATCATTTAGTCCAGTTTCGTTACAGTTAATAGGCACGTTTCTGTGTTTAATGTGAGAGCCTAGATGGCCTCATTTCCTTCCCCAGAGGAAGAGGGATCTGTCATATTTAAGATGGACTGACAGCACTACTTTCTTGGAGGCACCTGTCTGTCTCYCCAGAATATATTGGGAATTTAGGTTGACGGCTGTCTGACGCAGGCACTTCTAGATTGTGCCTGTAGTTCATTGGGACAACTCTGGGGCTTTGTATTTCCTTCTTTTTTCCAAGGAATTGTGAAATATATAGACTTTTGGCTCTCAGGAAGTTTGGCTCTCAGGAAGATTTGTTCAATGTGCTCTAATCTTGTATATGCTCAAATAACAGTTTAAGCAGGTATGTACAGTGGAAATATTCACATTTAACATTTCTATTGTCAGACTGAGTTTTGATTTTTTTTTTTTTTTTGTATAAAAAATAAGACACAAACTCAGACTGGTGGCTGAGCAATCCACCTGCAGACAGGCAAAGCAAATTGTGTTTTCATTTGTTTTGGGAGTTTGTTGTTATGGTTGTATGAAACACAAAAAAAGACAAAAGCCAGGTAAGACTTGCATTTACACGACTCTTGTTACAAAGGCAGGATTTCTAATAAGTTTGTAGCTCCATATTAAAAGATATCTCCAGCTGATTAACTTTAAGACAGTTATTCAAAGCGTTTAGTAATTGTAAGTGTCCAGCTGCTATTTGCATGCCATCAGTAACAGGAAATTATGTTCATTCACCTCACTAGACCATTAAGCTCAGGACATATTTTAATGCTATATTTTAATGCTCTAATGCTATAGTCGATCTGTGAGCAAATGTATTTTGTTCTATACTTTGAATGAACAAAAAGGAACATGACTATCTTAGCACAAACCTGAATCAAAGCTAGCAAAAATGTCTCAGCTTTTGGATTATTTTCCCGGTTTTGGAAACGATTTTAATTCTTCTAGTCCAAATGGTTTACGTATTTTAGGACCAAAAATTGATGGAAGGAAAGGGYAACTGTCTAATAGTCTGAAAGTTGTTCTGTTCATGCTGAACTTCATTGCTTCCATCTTCATACAGGCAGGGCAAATGTAGGCACCTTTTTTCCCGATGAGGACTGGAATCTCTGAGGCCCTTGTTAGCTGCAGATAAAGAGAAAGTTAAACCTCTTCATTACTCTGCTCATAAAGTAACTTGACATAGAGAATAGGGCAGTTAAGAGTAGAATTACATAATGCTTATTACTTTTTCGGGGAGGAGAGAAGGATAGAATTGGAGTGGTACAGATACTATTGTTGGTCCTGCATTGATCAGCAAGAGTTACCTATTGCACAAGGCTACTCCTGTCTATTGACGTCTCACATGATTTGTGAGGACTGTGTGATAGCTGATCCCTTTCTTGTCCTSCTTGCTGGCAGCCAGAAGTAAAATGCTGGAAACTACAAGACTGCATTAAGCAGCAAAAAAAAAAAAAAGGATTGAACAAAGGAGAAAAATAATTTAGGGCTCCAGGAAATACAGTATGCTGTGAGACTGATGATTAATCCCTGTACCTGGCAAAGCTGTGTCCACATTGCAAGTGCTGCTACCTGTCCTGTACGAGGAACAGCACCTGCAGTTCAGCTACATCCGCTAAGTCACACACAAAGCCCATGAGCTTGTTCCTCTTTCTCTGGGGTTCGTGTCATGTACCCATTAATCCTTTTATTGAATTTAAAGTCCTCTTGGATTTCAGATTTTTTTTTTTTTTGGTGTGTGAGAGCAACAAAAACATGTCCCATAAAAAGGACATAAAGCAGGGTGCTTTCTATGGCCAGTCAGCTTGACATTAGCTCAGCCTCTCAGCTGCTCTGGACAGCACATGCTGGTTTCCCTATTGCAATTACTACAGAGTTAAGAACCTCCTTTTTTAAAATCACTTTGTTAATGACTCCATGGACAACAGTTTCCCTTTCAGTACATTACTGATATTCCAGGAAGGAGCATTGAGGCGAGATCATATCTTCCTGTGTGCCAGTAAAAGGCCATGCTCATCTGTCTTGCACACTCTATTTCAAGACTTATTTCAGTTTTGGAACATTTTGTGGTCTTGATTTTGTTCTTGATTGCAAAGCATACTAACACAAAGGAAAAAAAAAAGAGATCTTAATGTCTGGAGTGTTTATCCACTCCCCTGAAGTCCTAATTGCTTGTTAGTCACCTCCTAATTGATTGCTGTGGAATAGTGATTAGGAAGGCTCATACAGTAATGACTTCAGGTGGGATGCATGCAGGATAGTTTGCATGATAATTAGACATTCCTGTAAATCACCTTCTTAATAAAGAAGAATCATGTAAGAGCCAACCTTAGGGAGGTTGTGGTGTGGGAAAGACCTTTCACAGATCATGCAACTGCCTGAAGTGATTGAAAAGGTCCAGGGCTAATGTAAACTCTTCAGTGCTATTCTGTTTTTGTGCCTTAAAGAAACTGCCTTAAATAYGTTTTTCAACCTGTACCTTTGATAGTGTTTGTCCCTGTCTCTTCTTYAGAGTAAAAAGAGGAGGGAATATCACCACTTTCCCTATGGACTTTGGACTTGGACCCTGTATTCCGGGCTGAGCTGTCAAGCAAAGAGCAAGAAGAATCCAGCCCATCTCATGTGAGGTCCACTGTAATTCTGCACAAGAGGCTTGTTCCGTGTTCTTGTTCATTTATACCCATCTCTCTATTCCAAATTCATATCACTGTTGTAGTCATTAAAGTTTAAAAATAYGAGGGTGGCAAAAAAAAGATTATATTTTTTATATGAGGTTTTAAAAGGAGAAAGCCACTGCTGTGCTCAAGGCTTGGAGAGGGTATTGAGTTTTAAAAGGAGACCTCCGTACAGGACTCCAAGGTATTTAACTGCCTTAAARATGTCTGGATCATTTGCAAAAATTCTCTGTCTGGGTAAGAACATAAATCTCATGCAAGTTAAAAGGGAAAGTCACTTGAATGCTGTGATAGTTGTCCTTTGGCACTTCTCTGTATCTTTAGAGGTCTATGGTCTATGTACTGCTGTAAATCTGGTCTGAAAGGATTATGACCACATAGGGAGTTAGGTGTGAGAATGCTTCACAGTCAGCTATAACTAGAGCACCTCTCTGTTTTCTCAGCTTTCCCTGAATTTGTTTACCTTTTCAATTTATATTTGAAGAGGGGAGTATCATTTGTCTTGTCATTGCTCACCCCTTAGCATGAAAATAGTCCCTGAAAATTAATACCTCTACAGTAAATGGTAGACTGAGGCTTGGTAGCAAAGCAGACTGCAAGTGTGTCAGATTCCTGTGCCCTGTGGCACATAGAAGGGTTAGAAGGATACCTGTTCTTCAGCCTGAATGAGTATAAGCCCAGGTACTGATGGGTAAATTCAGGATAAAAGAGCATACTATACAATTGCAAATAGACATTTCTTAGTTCCTTGTATGTAAACATGCCAAGACCATCAATATCATGATCCAGGAAGTTAATTTATGGCTGCAGAGAAGAGATGCTGGGGTATCCTCCATTCCCCTCAAGCCTGCTTRCTTCTGCCCAGTGTTTAAGCTTGTGCAAAGAGCAAGACTTTCCTGAGGYGGAATGTCTCTGTGGGCAAGAAAAATGTCCTGTTTTGTAGCTAATGCAGAACAGTTTCCCCAGTCAAGAAATAAATAAAATTCATAACAAGGACTGTCCTGCATGTTTTGTTTCYTGGGCATCATTTCAGCATCTCTCTTCACAGAATCAGAAGATGCTTTGGTAGACACTGATGAATGTAACTTCAAGACATTTCCCCAAGCTAAGTAAATCTCTGTTTTACAAGAGCAGAAGTTTGTAGCAGGAGCACAAGGAAAGACAGTGTCATCTCCAGAATGAGCACTCACAGCCTATGCAACCCCCACAGGAGTCACAGCAAGAGAGGCAGATATCTGGACACTGATTATTAGTCACATCACAAGTGACCAGTGATTACATATTAAGCCTCAGACCATCAGTTACAGCTTGACCTCTATTTCTGCATCTGTTCATCTGGGTAAGAATCTGGGTAAGAATCATCTGCAGCTTTCTCTGCTTCTCTCACCCATCTAAGTTTCTATTTTCTCAGAAGTTCCTGGCTCTAGATTTCCCTCGCTATGAAGGAACTACCACACCGCAGGAGGTCTACACAGAGCAGGGAACATTCCCTCTGGGAAGCCCTGAGAGCAGCCCGTCCCCTGCACACAGTGCCAAGAGCACAGCCTGGCTGCAGGCACGTAGCCATGCGTGCGGCCGCCTCACCCTTGGCAGCTTGCAGAGTTTTTCTATATTTGGCATCACACTCCAACTGTTCCTTTTCCCGCTCCATAGCGCCTTTAACCCAGGACAAGCTAAGGGACCTGAAAGGATTGGCAGGCTCTGCTCACCATTATTGCTGTGGCTTGATATCTGCAACTAGTTCTGTTTTTAAGTAATATTAAGAGCTAAGTGTTGCTCTCAGAGCATCTTCTTATGATACATTTTTYCCTAGTCCTTGTTTTTGCTCTGTTTAAAAAGCGTGGATATGRTGTTTTCCTTTCAGTCTTTCCTCCCCCACCTGCCTTCACCAAGTTCAATAGTTTCTGTTTGTACCACTATGCTCTATCATTGCAGGAAGGTGAGATCTGTTTGCATTCTGCATGAAGAATGACTGGGATGGGAGGAAAAAAAGGATCAGAAATATAAAGCTAGAACTTTCCTGCTGCTCAGATGTATTTGATTGTTGTTTTGTTCTCTTAAAAGACAAACRCAAAACAAAAACAACAAAAATCAAAAAAACACATAACTTTTCCAATTACTAGCATCCAACTACTGATCCTAGGTGAATCTCCTCATATCCAAATATGTGTACCGTTATTTACTTGTGCATAGATCAAAGCAAAGAGCAGATGAGCACCATGTCCTGCCCTCAGTTGGCAGAAGACAGCTGAGTGTAGCTGAAATCAGTTCAGTTAATTGGTAACAATACAGCTGATGACCAGCTGTGTGGTTATGGCTGTGTGAACTTCCGTGAATATCCACAAGGAGAGTGTTGCTGTGACCCATTTCCAGTTTTATACCTCAGTTTTAGATTAAAGCAGTTATACTTGAGGTAGGACAGTGGAAAGAAAATGGAGGRTTAACAGGTACTGACCACAATAGTTTTGTCAGAATTATTGTGTTTCATCTGGGCTTTTACCTGATCCAGCTTCAGAACCAAYTAGAAATTAATTAGAAACATATATTATGACTGGTTTTATTTTCAATCTTTTTCTTCTTAAGGCTAGAGAGCTGTGCTCCTGGCTGTAATATAAGGTATCAATTAGATTCACACTCACAATTAGATAGAGTTGAGATATAGATTTTTATTTTTCCATTTACCTTTTATTAGGAGAGAGAAAGTAGATACCAAGGCAGAAGGCTGAGCTGAAAGAAGGGTTTGAAATCCAGATTCTCATGGAGCCCGGAATCAGGTAAGAGAAGCATCATTATCTGAAAATGGAACAAATTTGCTTGGCTAAAGGTGCGGGAAGAGACTGGTTGGTTGTTTTCTTTTGGTAGAAAAGGAAAGTAGAATTTTTAATGTTGAGACTGATGAAGTAACTGTGATTAATCGAAGGAAATGCTATTGCTTTTAGGATCCTGGGAAAGTAAATAAAACCAAGGGGGTCAAAATTATCCTCAGCTGAAAGGGAAAAAGGTTATTCTCATTACAGTATCCAAAGGTTTCATACAATTGGAGAAAGATGTCCTGCTGTTCCCAGATGAGTGGCAGAGAGGCATCAGCTGCTCTTTGCATGACATCCTGATGGGGAGGCTACAGAGTGGTGAAGGGTTGGGAGGCATGTGCAAGAGAAGCCTTCACAGATGGTTTCACAGACAGACTTTTCAATCCCAAATGTGGCATCCCAGGTGTTGATCACCTGGCAAAGGCATACTAAGGTTTCCTGCCTCACCTTTATTAGTGACTATTCCTAGGTTTCCAGCTGTATTTCCCAACTACTAAAGACTTTTTTTTTTTTCTTTTTGTAAGAGGATTCTCTTCATTTACAAGCTCAAGAACTTCCTTCCTTTGTAGCTATTTACACAGGAAATCAAGGAACTGTATGTATCATATACTTTTTTGAATGCTCTTTTTTGGACACATGCCACTGAATCATAAGCCAAACTTTTCTCTAAGAACTGCTATCCTTGAACTTTGGTAGATGAAAGAGAAGATAACCAGTTCAAACAGGAAAGGATGACTTTATCCTGTGTGAGTAACATCTGTTCAATACACCACCAATTCAGGGATGCAACAAAGAATATTAGGAACCACAGAACTTTCCCATGAGTCTTTCTTCAGAGTTACTGTTGGCAGAATATGCTTTTCCCTCATGAAATCTAGTTAATTCCTTTACTTTTCATTTGTTTTTCTCATCATCATGAAGTAAGCAGGAGATGTTGAGTCAATATGTCTAAATTCTCTTCACATATGTATGGCTAAGCTACTGCATGGTTAAGTGAGGTGGATTTGGAAGGATCTCAGAAGCTTTCAAAATCACATAGATCCCTTCCTTTCTACCCCTTTGGTTTCTCACTTAAACCGTCTCTAATGTCTTGCATGATCCCAAGATGCTCTTTTCTTTCYCACAATATGTTCCTTACCCCTAGGCAGTAACCACCTTCAGTCCAAAGAGTGCTCAGCAGAACTGCTCTGCTTGACACATCTTGCTAGATTTCAAACTTGAACAACAGGGCTGATACTATGAATGCATCTGCATGTAGGTGTCATCTCCTATTGCATGTGGCCTGAGTTGTGCAACCTGTTGATGATACCAGTCTCTACTCATGTCCCTGCACAAACTCAGTGCACCCCTGGGGCCATGAATTTATCAGCTCTTGAAATTCTAGTAGGACTACTACATCCAGTGCTCATCAGTCCATGGGAAAATTTCACACAGTCTTCTAAGGACACAATTTTCCTCTTTTGAGTTTGCTGTTTTCTGCTATTTTTCCATCTAAATCTATGTATAGACATGGAACTCAACACAAACAAAAACAAATAAAAAGTTTTTATGTCTCCCTCCTCCTTCAACCATGAAAAAAAATCTCTTTAGATCAGCACGCTGAATATAAACATGCAGTTTTATTTTGTAGCTTCACCTGATCTGACCTCGAGCTGCTGTCAGAAGAGCAGGTCTCACACTCTTCCTTGTCTCTCTCCAGCATGACCTTGATGACCTTGTTGATCTGAAGAAAAATAAACTTGTTTTTCTAGTCAGTTACTGTTCTTGTGAATCAAAATCAGATTAAAGGCAAGAAAACTATATGAGTTCATAGATGGAGAGCATGGGGAGAAGGGTCTCCCAGCATTAGTGGCAGAGCTAGATCACCTGAACTCTAATATGAAACTGCTCCCCAATCCTTAGATGACAAATCATGAGCTGCTTCAGTGATGTGATCCTGAACGAGATCATAAACTTTGCAAAGTGTCCTTGTCATACATTACTTCTACTGGATTCCTACAAAATCCATTGATTCTTATAGATTCCAAATTTATAAATGTGACAGAGCATTTCATAAGGGTGCATTCTGTCACAGATGTTTAATGCACAGAGCAAACCCTAAAAGCTTCGCTACTGGCAAGGTAATAGCAGTGTGCCTTCATT